TCTATTATTTATCTATTTAACAACCATTCATCTCCCTTCCACTTTCCTCCCCTCCCCATTTTTTTTCTCTTTTTTCTTTTGTCTATCTCCCCATCTATGTACTTACCTAGCATCTCTTTTCTCTCAGTGGATTCATAATCGTGTATGAGTTATATGATACAATTAACAATAGAATGAGGCAGTTGTTACCATAGGGCTATATGTTGCAGGTCTAATAAGAGAGGGATCAKTTAGTGAGGAAAGGGTCAAGGAACATTTCCAAGAAGAGCGCATGAGGAGGAGTTGGAAAGTCATGTAGGAGAAGGACAATAAGCCATCTTATGCACTTATGACCATGACCAGGAGAACTGTCACCACCGACTACATCTGGAGAGGAAGTTCCAGCCTTCTCTTACTCTAACAAGAGTTTCTAGACAGCGTGTACCTTGCCAATGATCTGGAGAGAACATGGCTGGCAGGTGCACATGCTGGATGGCACTCATTAGCCGTGTACCCTGGGCCAGTCGTGTAGTTGATCTGAGACTCAGATTTTTTGCCCCCAAGGGCTAGTCCAACAGGTACCTGCCTTTTGCATTTTAGCAGGTTATGAGGAGATAATGTGTGTAARGATAAGACTGCATTAGAGGAAAAATTTCCACCACCATCTCCTCCTCCTCCTCCTCTTCTTCCTCCTCCTCCTTTTTTGAGATGGGAATTAAACCCAGGGCCCCACACATTCTAAGGATGTGTTATAGTATTGAGCTACTTCCCAATCCTTTCTGAAGACATTATAAGACTGGATGTTGCTAAGTTGTTTTGAACTTGTGGCCCACCTGCTTCAAACTACAGAGAAGCTGGGATGACAGACATATGCCAGAGTGCGTGGCTCATTTTTTAATGAGAATTTAGACTAGATTTTTAGAATTGGAGGCTAGAATAAAAGTACATACATGTCCCCCTTACTCTACTRTAAGGGGGACATGTATGTACATCCCCAAATCATGGAAATTTCTAGAAACCTTTTCACATGGATATTGAGACTTTACTACTCAATAAAATTTTGAGCTAGTCTAAAATCTTTCATTGTAAGATGATACTTAAGGAAGCTATCAAATAGTAATAGTCCTAAAAATAAAATATTTTGTTATTGTAGGTTAATCTTTGGAATGTTCTGGAATTTCAAAAAGTCACATGATATTTTTCCAGATAGACAACTAACATGTTTTCAAGTGATAGAGTTTATGAATACAATGTAGTCATCTTGTAATTGATTCATGCATTGAAAAGATGCATGCAGCCATGCCCAATGATATAGGCTTGACACAGTGTTTTTGTAATAAATCACAAATACAAAATGGCTCACTCAGAATGTACAAAGGTCACCTGGAGAGTAATTTGTTTTCTGAAAGGTTTTGCTTCTTCATCATAAAAAAGTTTAAAATTAGACTACATGTGTATATGATAGAACAGCCTGTTAAAATTACAGTTATTATATTAAATTCTGACAAAATCAGCATTTTGGTACAATAAATATAATGTTTGAAAAATTATTATAGATGAGAATTTAAAACTGTACTGTGAGAAAAATGGAATCAAGGGAACATTTATTGAGCATAGTTTTTTTTCCCTAAAGCACTGACGAGTCAGGAAATATGAAAAATGACCATGTGAAAATGCTTAGACTCCATTTTAGGAAAAGAAAGCTGGTTTTCAGAGAATTTAAGCATATACTCAAATACAGTGTATAAGTGGCTCATGAATACTGGAACATGTGTTTGACTCAATCATCCATTTTTTTAATTGAAGACCTATTAAGTTGCAAATTATATGGCAGGTAAGTATTGAGACCTGATAATTCACAGACACAGAGAACAGAAATTGCTTTTGCCTTGGGGCTGAGGTTGTGGCTCAGCGGTAGAGCACTCCCTAGCATGTGCAAGGCGCTGGGTTCCATCCTTAGCACCACATAAAAATAAAAACAAATAAAAATAAAGGTATTGTGTCAACTACAACTAAAGAAATATTTTAAAAAAGAAATTACATTTGCCTTTATTAACCAGTACTTAAAGATCTGAATGGAAAGGTATTAGAAGTAATGCAATCTCGGTAGAAAACTTTTCTTCAATAATGCATTTGTATTGTGTTCTGGAAATTGGTGTTGACAGTGGTATTGAAAAGCCAAATGTCTATTCCAGAGAATTTGTGAAGTAGAATTTATAGTTTTGAAATTCAAGGATGATATAAAAGGAAAGAAACCAAGGGAAAAAGAAAAACTGGAGGGGATTTATTTTCTGTATGCTATTGTTAAGGATGAATTACAGTAGAGTGGTTAGATAAGGTCAGTACCCAATATCAGGAGAAATAGGTAGGAATATTTTTTCCACAGAAGGACAAATATCTTATAATGAAGGTTATCAAAATAAGAGATTGACAGCTTTGTGAAAATATCCATTAAGTGCATCTAATAAAGTAGGAAACCAGCCACCATTCACTCCTTTATCATCTAAATCCAAATATTAGACAGAATAAATGATGTTCCTAAGTTTATATTATCTATTAACTATGATTTCATGTCTATTATGATAAAAAATAATTGAAAACTCTTGAGACTGCTTGGTTCTGAAAATGATGTATAAATCTAACCTATACCAGTAAGATAAGTGAAAACAAATAAAAAACATTTTTTCCTGTTTTGCTGTTTTTTTCTACTGCATGGTTTTGATAAAAAGGTAGGATGTGGACTATAGAGTAAAAAGGAAAGGCATGCTTGAATTAGACCCCTACAGACATAACTACAAATGAGGATTTCCAGACCTCAGCAATTCTGACATTTTGGACCAGATGTTTCTTTGTTCTTCGAAGCTGATTTTTACCTCTCAGGATTATAAGCATCCTTGATTTCTACCAGCAGATGCCCAGTAGCTTTCCTTCCACCCCAAGTCATGTTATTTGAAAWTTTCTGCAGAAATTAGCAAGTGTCACCAAGAGGGTAAAATTATCTCTGATTGAGAATCAATGATACAAATGTGACAATAGCTCTGTTGTCCTTATTATTCCTGTCTTATGGGGAAAAGTGAGGTAAAAAAATGAGCAGGATATAGATAAGGTGACCCTGAGAGGAGCATCCGTCTCCTTCTTTTGGGGTTGAAGACTTTATTTGTATGCTTGATCCTGGACAAGAATCATCTGTCTTTGCAAACTTCAGCACCCAAGACAGCATCTTCCCTATGACATAAGTTCAGTTAGCATGTGTGGAATTTAGCTAAGTTGTTTAGGGATGCCCACCAAGCAAAGCAATCCACAAAAATATGTAAGTACATATTATAGTTTTAAAGGTATATGTGGAGAGGAGGAAAATCTCGATGTACAAAATATATAGATTCTTATAGTTGAGTGAGAAATCCTTAAAGAAATTTTTGTTAGAAAAATTATAGATTCTTGTAGGAAAATTGTAGATTCTTAAGTTGAATGATAATTGCATATATTTTAGTCAGAAGAGGGGATGCAGGTAAATGCAATATAGTCCTGTTCTTTGGATTACACATATTGTTAGAAATCTAGGAATAGAACAGGCCTGGTTCCCTGACAATGTTTCTATATCTCTCTACCTCTTGCAGGGAAGAATGTGGTCCTCCTTTATTAAGTTTCAAAACRCAATCATGTTTAGAGTTTATAGGTATTCCCTTAAAGGGTAGTTCAATATGTTTGAGTATAAATTCTTCTAGTACAACAACATAAATGTAAGTGTAAAAGTCAGCAGAGGGGCAGGAATTTGTCCCCTTSCTGGATTGCAGCAGAGCTTTGTTGCTCAAAGATGTTATTGTCAGCTGTGCATTCTGGAGAAGAATCAAGGAAAGGGGACAAAGCATGGTGCTCAGTCCTGTGTAGCTCTCATTTCTAATAAGTTCTGTAGCTTTTCTAAAATACTCAGTAGGTGTCTGCAGAAAGACTTACCACTGAATGTAACCCACCTAGACCCATGCAAAGATCATCAGCCATAACAGAAGTCAGAGGAAACTTGATACATGACATTGAACTCTGGTTAGTGATAGTGATGCCAAGTTGAATTTTGAAAAAAAAATACTTTTTACTATGAAGTCTTTACTTATTTAGGTCACATTCAACCAAATGTYTTATTACCAAAATGATATTTTATATTCTATAAGTGAATTGCATTGATTTAGTTGCATTGATAATAGAAATTTACAATTGAGGTAATAGATGGTAACATATATGTTATATATATATATAACATATATATGTACACACACATATGTGTGTATATATATATATATATATATATATATATATATATATATATAGAGAGAGAGAGAGAGAGAGAGAGAGAGAAACAGACCCAAGCACTAATGATAGGTATCTTCTTTCAGAATGCATATTTTTCAGTTGGAGCTATGAAAGCAAAATTTTAAAACAGAGAATACATAGAAAAGGGATCAAACTAAGTCACACTTGCCATCAGCGTACTAAAATCATTCATTCTCCTTTTAGCTTCTCAGTTAAATGTACAATGAACAGTAGTGAAATATACAGGAATCCCAAGAATGCACTTACATTTCATCAGGCAAAACTCTGATGGGATCTACATTGGAGAAAAGTACTGATTTTCAGGTCTAGAGGGCAATTTTTTTTTTATATTTTCCCCAAGACTTGCTGTAAAAAATATATTACCAGGTGATAGAAAGTTTTAAAAATGGACATCAGTTTAACATTTGTTGACTGTGATTTGTTTGAGACATTTCATTAGCAGAACAGACTAAAACAATGTTCTTTAAATAAAAACCAGAGTCTCCAAAATAATGAGCACATTTTAAGCAAACCATTATTGATTGTCAACAGTGGCTGGCACATGATAGTTGTTTAAATATTTGTTGGCTGTGTCAGGGAATGAATGGCATACTCTGGCAACTGTGGACAGTATATAAAGGTCCCAGGGAAGCAGAAGACATCCACACTTCCAAACCATCCTTATTCAACCCACCTGTACTCTTTCCTCTGACAACATGTGTTGCAACTACTACGGCAACTCCTGCGGCTGTGGCTGTGGGTACGGTGGCTACGGCTCTGGCTGTGGCTGTGGCTATGGTGGCTATGGTGGCTATGGTTGTGGCTGTGGATACGGCTGTGGCTGTGGATACCGTGGCTATGGTGGATATGGCTCCAGCTGTGGCTGTGGATACCGTGGCTATGGTGGATATGGCTCTAGCTGTGGCTGTGGATATGGCTCTGGCTGTGGCTGTGGATATGGTGGCTTTGGTGGCTATGGTGGATATGGTTGTGGCTGTGGATACGGCTGTGGATACGGTGGCTATGGTGGCTACGGCTCTGGCTATGGCTCTGGCTGTTGTGGCTCCCGGGTGTTTTGCTACAGAAGATGTTATTCTCCTTGCTGCTAAAACATCACTATCAGAGGACCATTTGTTTCTGAAATGACACTTCTAAAAGACGACACTTCTTCAAGATCCACTCCCCAAGATCTCTACCTTCAGAAAATCGCATGCTTGAAAGTCATTGATCTTCGGCTGCACATCTCTTAGGATGGCATCTGGGAGGCCCTAGGACCTGTGCTATCTTYTCACCACTTTCCACATAGTAGCCTTTGCTCCCTGAATCTCTGATTCTCTGTCATGACCATGTTGATGACCATGGTATCGAYAGTGGTCAAAGTCACTTATTTTCAATAAAAATGGTTGTTTGTTTCTAATGAATCTTTGTGTACTTGCTTGTGAATTATTCCTTTCTTGTGGTGTTTTGAACTATCTTGAAAATCAGGCTAACATTAATTAGCCTAATTGTTGGGTGAACTTAAGGTACTACCTTTATAAAATACACACATTTACTCTTATTTTATATCAWTAATGTCTCTTCTGCTTGCTTTTCATGTACCACATGCTCAGGCCCTTCACAACCCAAGCACAAATCACAGAGAATTTTAGAATTGTGCTTTGGAAATGGCACTGGATCTTGAATGGAGGTGGAGAGGAAAAGAGAGAAGGAATGGTATCTATCTTTAAGGTTATGAGAAAAGCAGCCATAAAGAAGAATGAAATTATGGCATTTTCCAGTAAATGGATGGAACTAGAGACTATCATGCTGAGTGAAGTAAGCTAGTCCCCCCAAAACAAAGAAGGCCGAATGTTCTCTCTGGTATGTAGATGCTAACACACAATAAGCAGGGAAGAAGAAAAGAAGTTCATTGGATTAGACAAAGGGGAATATAGTAAAGGGTCAGGGGATGGGGACAGGAAAGATAATAGAATGAATCAGACATAATTTTTCCTATGTTCATAAATGAATACACAACCAGTGTTAATTCTACATCATGGACTACCACAAAAATGAAATCCGAGTTAGAATAATTTATACTCCACATATGTATAGTGTGTCAAAATATACTCTACTGTCAGGTATGTAGATAAAGAACACATTTTAAAAAGAAAAAAAAAGATTATGAGAAAAGTCCCAGGGAGAGTCATGTAGCACAAGAACTCAAAAGAGCAACAGAATGGAAGAGAGTGTTGTCAAGAGTTACTGAAGTATTCATCAGACTTGGGTGTTGGTCATGAGGAATAAAGCCTAAGGAAATAATAAATTTGAAGAAAAATCATATTGTTACATAAAATATGCATTAATGGAAGTGCAAGTGTATTTGTGTACATATATTGAGGTGGAGTCAAGTGATTTGATTCACTCAATCAACAAATATATTTGTATATTTTTGGCCAGGCACCATCCTAGACTTTGAAGACACAATAGAAAAATTATAGACATGTTTTCTGATTTCAGTGTTTGTACTCTATTAGAAAAAAATAATATAACAAATAAAACCCATAATAGATTTATACAGATAATTGTAACAGGGGAATTAAGAAGTTCAATAAGACGGTATAAGGGCTGATGTGTTAGTTCAGGAGCTATATATTGAAGTTGTGACATTCAAGCTGGTAATAAAAAGATGCCAATAGCAAAAAGAGGTTGGGAAGTTCATTAACAAGTACAAAGAGAAAAGAGAAGTTCATTAAAATTTAGGTCTCATCAGGAAGTGCCACCTTTTGTCAGTTGTAAAAGAACAAGGTCCAGTGTCTTAAGTTGGGTTCCCTTGGGAATGGAGCTGATATGATATTGGGATTAAAATGCCTAGTTAACTCCTTGGTTAACTTTTTGAAGGAGAGGGTACACTATTTTTTTGGGGGGGGATTGTGACTTTATTGCTCTTTCCCCATGTGGCCATCCAGAACTCTACTAAGTCCTATAACAGAAAAAACCCTTTAGATTTGATATCAATTATGTTTCAACCAGCAGTAACAAATGTCCCATTTCCTTGAGGGGGTCACAACACAAAGTCTGACTTGGTGAGTTCCCTGGAGCTGAGAGATTCCACAAGGCCTGACTTGAAGAAATGCAGTTCTGCAATCAAAATCAGTCCTGGACTGGGGCTGTGGACACAACCAGATTTGTCCATCTGATGGTGACTCAGAGCTTCTTCAAGGGGCAGGGTGCTCTTTTACATTGGGTACATTTATAAATCAGATCTGAGGGTTGACTCTGCCCTGCATAATTCTGAAGCTAGTGTTACAAACAGAGGGAGGGAATTCTACTAATTACAGCTCTTTGAAAATCTAACTTATTGTTTCATTATGTTCCTTGGCATCAAAGGCATTCCAAAACAAGGAAGGATGTCATTTAGTAGGCACGTTTAAGATAGTTTATATATCCAGGAAAGGATCTTCACAAACCAGCATTTACCATGTCTTCCAAACCTGAAATGTTGTGATTCTCTTAGTCAACAAGAATTTAGAGACTTTCAGCTTGTGTGAAGTGAGAAAAGAGTGATAATGGTAAAGAGACAGGGATCCTAAAATTAGAGAAAATTTTTCTACATACTGCATGTGTGTGTGCACACACATGTAAAATGAATCTGGTGTAGGTTAGGAAAATGAATATTTGTCTTCTCATATCTAATCATGTTATGGAGGAAAGGAAACATTAAATTAGGGCACACTTTTTGGATTCAGGAATGGTTTAAGCATCAAAGCTCCTTTATAAAAAACAGTGCTTTTATTAATGAGTTATATTGTAGAGGTTCTCAAAGTAAAATCAGTCATGCTTCTCTCATTCCTTGAACAAGTCTTAAAATTCATGTTCTAGCTATGTACTGTGATTGGTGCAGAGATAAAGCTAAGACACCCAGGCCCACTTCTAAGGATTCCAAATCTTCAGTTAGACACAAAACATTGATTTATACGTTCACATTATACAGCAGGTATGCCTGCAGGTGTGATGGGGTTAGCCAGAGGGCTAAAGGGGCCAACTTCACATTCAGACTGAATGTGAAGAGAAAGTTTAGACAAGGGTCACAAATGGCTTCAAATGGAGAATGATGTATAAGCAAAGCCATAAAGGATAAGGTGGGAGTATTTGGTTACATGGGTAGGAAAATAGGATTCAAGGCAGAGGAATTCAGATAAAGAAGATAAGCTGGAAGTCCATTGTTAGAGTAACAAGATTCACTGGGAAGACTGATCAATGGCCACACCATTGGAGGGATTCTCAGGTCTCTTGAGTGAGCTGAAAATCAGATATGTTAGCCACTGGCTAGGTGTGGCTACTGAATGCAAATACTACTAGTCCATTATGAATTAAGTATAAAACACACAGTAGATATCAAATAATATATAAAATGGTTTTGAACTATTGATTATATATTCCTTGATAATATTGGGAGGCCATAAATTAAATAAAACATAGTATAAAATAATTTTACATGTTTATAAAAGCCTTTTAAAAATGTGGCCAGTGAAGCATTTGAATTTTTCTACATACTTCATAATGTATTTCTCTTGTATAGTGTTGTTCTAGAGGGCCAGCCACAACAAACCAGCCAGGAAAAGACATTGGATAAGAAGATAAGCCATGTTTGGGGCCCAGAAAAAGATCAGAGAATCTGAATGTTTTATAAAGATACGAGAAGTAAATAAGTCTGAGGGAGTGAGGCTACAGGTGCCTGAACTGTAGACTTTGGGAAGCACTCAATAAAGATGCACATTTTACCTGGAAGATTTATTCAATAAATGGGTGTCCCTCTGTTTTGTAATGTTTGAATATCTGAGACTACGTAATTTACAATAAGCAGACCTACAGCCTGGGACATTCAATGTCAAGGTTCTGGCAACTGGTTTGGGCCTTCTGGCTGCATCATAACATAGTAGGAGAGAGAGAGAGAGAGAGAGAGAGAGAGAGAGAGAGAGAGAGAGAG